ATGCGGCTTGACATATTGGGTATGTTGATATTGTTGATCTTTTTACTGTGCGGTACGTGTGCTCAGGAAACTGATGATGCCCAGGTTAAAGAGCGGTATGAGAGCGAGGACATGTCCGGCGCCGGTGTTGATGATGCGAGTAACGAAGAGGGTGGTGATGGAGGAGCTGAAAGTCGTTACGAAATGGAAGAACTAGACAAAGACGACGCGAGAAATACTTCCATGGAGGGCGATACCAAGTCTGTTATCCTTATCAACCCCAGTCGGCTGTACGACCGCGTGAAGGAGCTGCACGACATGCTTGCCCATCATCGTTTGTACTATGACCTTCTCTCACGGCAAGACTTCCATGTGATTGTAGACGAAGTAACTCGTTTGCCCCAATACTTCAGCGACCTGCCTTTCCACGACGCAACACTCGCACCTGATAGCAGAGAGGCCCAACCCTTTGACTCGTACTATGTGAAAGAAAAAGATAAAGTGCCCGTTAATCCTTCTCTCTTTAAGTCAGTGTATAAGCTCCACCAACAGCTGAGTCAGGCAGAGCCACTGGTGCACAGCGCCGCCTCTGCCCTCCAGGAGGTCATTCCTCAGTATCACCTGGATGAAGATGCGGCCATGGACATGATTCATGAACTTCTACCTCAACCAGGCGTCCAAATGGAAGTTGCCGATCTTGGGCCACTGACAACTCCGCCGACCAATTCTTCCTCGTCGCTCTCAGTCAACCCCCATTCCAGCGAGCACCGCAACGATACATCTACTTCATCTCAGTCATCCATCCCTGTTACTAATTCACCAATAACGAACCCGCAAGCCACTCCAATGCCTATTGAATCGACAGTCTCCATCTCGCCTTTTGGAGTTCCAATAGGCGATGAAAAACCTGTGGAAACTATTGCAAGCTCAGGGTCATCTGTTAACCGAAATGAGATCATACATGAAATCAGTGAAAGTCTGTCAAACCAAATCAATATGACTCAGAACAAGACTGATCTGCCATCAGGTAATGCATCAGATTCCAAACCCTTAAATCCAACAAGCTCTCAGATTAGAGGAAACAGTGGTATGAAGGACATTCAAGAGATAAGTCCCAGTACGTTCTGGTGGAGACCCCCGTTTGGCAACATCCCCGTAGGCCTATTGCCTCTTCATAACAACAGAACGCAAAGCACTAGTGATGCAACAACACAACGTCCCTTACCTATTACTGACTGGGTAGTTAATCCTGACGAGTCTGAACCATTTGACGATGATTTACTCAAGACGAATGAACAAACAAATCCAGGTGAAGAGCAAGAAAAGCTTTCTTTCACGCAGACTAAGACAGTAAATATCATCGAGACTTCACCCCTTCACTTAGGAAATTATTTCAGTTTAAGACATCCTCCTCAAAGGGGCTTTCTCGTCCCTGTTGATGAAGACTTTACCCCAAAGCCATCCTCTACAGGGTTTGCGCTTCACAATGTCCCAACTTTAAATGATATGTCTTCTGAATATGGTCAGCAAATATCTCTCATCCGAACTCCTACTCTCTCCGTTCAACTCCAAGAAACTCCATCGGAGCCATTGAAAGTCCAGCCACTTTTAACAGTGAAGGATAGTCTTTTCCACCCGTCTCTGTTCTCCATGCACGCTCCAGTGGGTACGATTCAGTCTCCTCAAATCACAGAAGTATCTAACAGTCATCAACAATCCCAGACTGTTTCTTCACTGTTTTCACGTCCAGAAGAGTTCTCAACTATGTTCTCTTTTTTGTCCCCATCTACATCTTCCACGGCGAATCTCATTTCTGTTGGATTAGAACCGTCAATACACCCGTCACTTTTATCATCATTGCCTCTTCCATCAAAACCACAGGAAGATATCATTGATAAACTAAATAGTATTCCGTCTCATGGATCTTTGTATCATGATTTAGAAACTCCAGTTATGGATAAAAAAATAGAAAATGCGAAAATGCCAATCGAACTCGAAACTGAGGTACCTACTACTGCTTCTCTGAGTGTTCCAACCCACTTATCCCAGGACTCAAATCATCCGTTTTTATCCAGAGTATCAGCTATGCAGGATTCTCAGTCGCCGTTATCCTTAGATGAACAAGATTTGAAGTCCCAATCGTCCAGTGTTTGGCAAATGCACGAACAAAAAGACAGCGGGAATGGAACGTCTCTGTCGCAGAGTGCACTAGAAATGATACTCTCAATGCATCAGTCACTCACCACTCAGAGCCCAAGCGAGACGCCACTGTCTAACAAGGGGCACATAGGCATGAACTTTTCAAAGAAGTGGACTAATATCTCGAGCATTCATCAGGACTTTGATATTTCCAGTCAAGCAGATACAGAAGCTCCTTGGATGCATCAGGGCTTGGCTTCGTTTTCTCAGGGAACTCTTGAGGAGGACAGCCCCCAGATATACTCGAGCACAGAACGCTTACAGCCAGGACAACGACCACCGTCCTTTGCTTCGCATTATCAAAATGCATCTTCCAGTGCTGACTCAGATGTCAGTGCCGAATCGCATTATGATATCAGTGTCAGTATAGTCAGCAGAAATAAGGATAATTCTAATGAGGATAGTGATCAGGGAGCTCCAACAATTAATAATCATGCGGAGTTGTTTTCAACCATACCAGCATATGTCACTACAGAGACTCAGAATGAGGACATTCATTTCGGTAGTCATCCACAACAAATAATTGATTCAGACTACTACACTTACGATGACTATTACTACTATGATAATTACAATTATTACGATTACCCAGCATACCAAGCACAGGCACCAATAAGGGGGAGAGCAGAAAATTCGCCCCCAAATATCGAAGTTTCGCTCGACATCTCAAAAATTCCGGGCGCCGTCCTGGTGTCAACAGAAGGCCAAGAGGTGCAAGAGTCCGTTCCTGAGGCAGCCTCGCGTTCCACTCTCCGACCACCACCTCGGCGACCTGCTCTAAGGCCCCGTCCAAGACCAGATGCTAATAATAGCATAAGACAAAGTATAGGTAATAACTTACGGCCCCGCCCTAACAGGCCATTTTTCCGACCAATCCCCAGCAGAACGAGCTCCAACAATCCTTTAGGCTTTCCGCGACGACCAACCACGACGACACCGCCTCCTCCACAGGCTATCGATCGTCTTAGTCTGTTAATGTCTCAAGGTGGTACCACTGTGCCTCCCATCACCTCCACGACTCGCAGTGGTCCAACACGCCAACAGTTACAGGACGCCCTTCAGCTGCTGGTTGCACTACAGGAAAATTTCAATGAAGAATCGACTTCAAGGCCCCCAGCTACCCAATCGCCAGTTTCAGCATCCATTATTAACCTTCCGAATCCTCAGAGTTCCGGCACTGGATTCCAAGTCTCGTTGTCCCAGAGGGTTTCCGGGCAGAACCAGCAATTTGAGGCTTCTGTCGGTGAGCCAGTGTATCCTCCAGCGCCACCCCCGTTACCTGGCCCTCCTGGACCAATCCCTGTCCCTAGCGGAGTCTTAACAGGTGCTCCAAATCCTGGCATCACAAACCGGCCAGGGGCTCCTGCTCCTAATCCCTACCCTGGTTACAGACCTGGATCTTTCTCACCATTTACACATGGTTACCCGGGTTATCCTTCATCACAATATCCTTATCCACCTAACCAATATCCTTATTACCCACCTTACCCTCCCTACCCATACCCATACCCATATCCCCCATCGAATAATGGGTGTCGAGGAGGCGGGGCGTCGACCAGCACTTCAACAGGGCCTGGTTCCGCAGCAGCCGCAGCAGCAGCAGGGGGAGGCTGTGGCGGAGGCTCTACATCAACATCCACGTCAGTTGGCCAAAGCGCCGGCGCAGCACCCGGCTCCGTGTCTGTAGGAGGAGGAGGAGGCGCTCCTGCCAATCCTTCTCCGCCAGCGGCTCCTCAACAAAGCGTAGTTAGCGCTCCAGCACCTCCGCCTAGGGACCCCGCTCCTCCAGCTCCTTCTTCTACTCGTGCGCCGCCCTTCAGCATCAGCTTTGGCACAGGGTCGACCACGACGGAGGCGCCGGCGGTGTCGCAGGAAGAGTACAATCACGTAATTTCAGCTCTCCACACGCTCATGTCGTACCTGAACCGCACCACCACTCAGTCTAGAGGTAAGGGCCTGCTTCTATGCTAGCTCCCGCTGTTCCTTTTGTTTCTCTGAACCTTTTGATGGGAAGTGCTTATAGCCTTTCAGTTCACAGGGGCAACAAGAACAATGATAACAAGGAAATGATAACAGTGAAATAAGTATATTAAATTATTCTAAATATAAATGACAGATATACCTCTCATGAAGAGTAAAAATAATATTTGTTTTCGAAAATGTCAGAAAATATGATTCTGCGTTATTATACACACGGACATAAAAGCTAAACTTGAAAATAATGAAAAAATAATGATAATGAACCATAACTGGTAACATAGTGTCAATGATGATGATAATGATGAGGATGTAATGACTGTATTAAAATTATAGCAGCAACATCAAAGATAAAGGGAGCGATGTTCATACTATCATTATTATCATCATTGTTAATATTGTTGCTATCATCACAACTTTTATTTTATTTTTTATCATTATTACTGTCATTATGATTATTATTACTACTACTGCTACTGTTATTATTATTTTAGTTATTATTATTATTTTGTACTTATCATCACTAGTATCATTATTATTATTGTTGTTGTTGTTGTTGTTCCCATTGTTATTATTAATTTTATTTTACATTTTTCCTATCACTATCATCATCATTATTATTATTGTTATTATTATTATTGTTGTTATTGTTTTTAATTCTATGATGATTATTTTTTTATCATCATCATAATCTTTATCATTGTCATCATTATTATTATTTTCATTTTTATTATTGTTATTATCATTATTATTATCATTATCATTATTATCATCATCATCATTATTATTATTATTATTATTATTATTATTTTTATTATTATTATTATTACTACTACTACTACTAC